TCTATAGTAGCCGACTAATCCAAGGAAACTGTGAATCTCTGTCACATTAGTGGGTTGCTTCCATTCTGATACTGCCTTAACCTTTTTTGGGTCTACCTTTACTCCATCTGCTGTGATAATATGCCCTAGAAAAGCAACTTCTTTTAACCAAAATTCACACTTGCTGAATTTAGCGTATAACTCATGTGCTCTTAACTTGTTCAGTATCACTCTCAAGTGTTGTTCATGCTCTTCGGCACTCTTGGAGTATATGAGGAAGTATGCTGGTGCATTGGTTAGTGCAAATGGCATCACGGTAAACTCATATTGTCCATAGCGAGTTACAAACGCTGTCTTTGGTATATCGCTGAGTTGAATCTTCAACTGGTAGTATCCTGACCTTAAGTCTATCTTCGAAAAATATTTGGCTCCTTTTAGTTGATCAAATAGATCATCAGTCCTTGTTAGTGGGTACTTATTCTTGATGGTGACTTCATTCGTAGATGCGTTGGGGACGACAATGGTAACGACAACGACGTTGTTGGCATTTCATAGCATCACTACACAGGAACGTGTTCCCCGACAACGGCGCCAGAAATGCTTCTTGGCATTTTTAAACGCCGCTACTAGGTTTGTAATCTCCAGGCAGTGGCACCAGAAATGCCAGGGTAGTTCTTTATGTTTACAGAACAAATCTGTAAGCGCACGGAATTACCATTGTAACATTTCATCCAGAAGTATTCAGGGTATCGTTTATTTATATTTTCCTAAAGGAAGGCATAATATAAAAGACTCTAGTATGGATATGAACAAGATGATATGCTTATAAAGCGGACCAAAGTTCATAGCAGGGGTAAACATTGTATAGATTCAAGAAAGTGGACACACACACACGAGCCTATCTTAGGGGTAAAGAAGGGTGAAAGAATAAAAGAATGGGTCCTAAGAAGAGCAGGCATATCCTAATACAGCTATGCAAAGAATAGTGTGTGATCATACAAATACATGGTTAAGAGTTAGAACTAAGTATGAGATGGGTCGGGAGACCTCTGAGTACAGGTCTGCCAGGAACCTCATGAGGCAATTTAGACTCCTACACCCTACCCGAACGTGGGGGATTATGAAGGACAGATAGGTCTGTCACCACCAACCACCTACCCCTCAACTGTGGAGTAGGAAATGTATCCGCCTGTTCCCGAGCACCACGCCCATGTACAAACAAACTACCCAAATCCCCCTAGGACTCCGACCCCATGGATCAACAAGCATAGGACTTTGGCACACCCAAAGGCATGACGAACCGCCACCTTAACTTAGCTCTACTTCTAATCATATATGTTGTATGAATGATTAAGCATAAAGTTCTATATGCTAAGTTCATAGCATAAGAACTATACTCTAGTTCATAAGCATAACTATATTGATAATATGAGAGCAAGTACATATTGGAACCGAATATATTTCTCATACCAAAGATAGCCAAGATGTCCAAGCCCTTCACTACAAGCTCTTGCCAAGCTCCAAACTACAAAAAGATAAAAGAGTACAAAGGTGGGGTGAGGTAGAGCTCAAATGTGTGTTGTGTCTTTGGGAGAGAGCTCTTCCCCTCTATTTATACACTCTTCAGGTCGGTTTGGGGGGTTATACATTGAAACTTCCCAAATTGACCTCCCCTAGCATTGATGGTCCTACAGTGATGGCACTCTTCAGCCTGATGAAGGTGGGCCCGAGAGACAGCAGAAGTGGTGTGCCCGCACCCCTGGTGCGGCCACACTAGGGCCGGCCCCTCTCACCACCGCCTTCGCATGGCAGGTCTCTTGTTGGTCCTAGAGTGCATCTTCGTTGGTTGTTGGCCTAAATTTGACAGGTAGGTGGGCCTTCTCCTTATTCCTCTGCGCAATTCTGCTTTGCACTTTGCTTGATTGCGCCTTTTCGTTTTATTTTCCACTGTATCTATGTATAAGTCCTGCAAAACAATGTTCTTCCAATACAAGTGGAACTATGTCAATATGAAAGACATATGTATATAAATTATGCCTAGTTCTCCCTTTTTGGTCTTTAGTTGGCGGTCGGATTTGGTCGATAAGGACCGCCAACAAAATCCCCCTAGCTTACCCTTTGTTCGTCCTTGAGCAAAAGCTAAGACATTGGTTGTTGATTAGAAGTTGGTACTATGCCGATCACATATCAAAAGTGCCATGCTTATAACAAATCATTCTTCCTTGATTTGAATAAGTCGGCATTTTATCCACCCTTTATTATCTCATTACCTGTGGAGCTTTTTAGCTTTTCTCCAAGTCTTGGGTGGTTGCAAGATAGAACGGTTTTATAGAACTGCTTATCATTCATTCTTTGATCGACTTTCTTTCCGAAGGTTTTGAAAATTTTGCAAAACAAAGTTAAGTTCCTCAAATTATTCACTCGATCACTCAATAATGTGTATGATCCTCACCAAAGGCTTTTGATGTTGCCCTTTCTTTTCATCCTTCCACTAAATGGCTTATGTGGAGCTTTGGGTAGGTATGAAAATGAGGCATACTTGCATCACATAATTTTGCTAAGTCAAAAACCGGATCCAAGGAGATGCAAGTCATACACTTTGATCAAGAAGTGCAAGTGTGTGAAATTTTCAAACTTTTTGTTTTGAACTCCTTTGTCATGCCTCTCTCTTTTTTGCTTTGGTTTTGAAAATATGAGCTATCTTTCTTTTCTTTCTCTTTTTTTCTCTCTCATGCTTTTTAGCATGGATGTTTATTTTCTCTTATTTTCTATTTTTTCTCTCATGCTCTTTGGCATGGATGTTTATTCTTCTCTTTTTGTATAACCCATATTTTCTTTTGTCAAAAGAAGAACATGGAGAGAGTGAGATTCACAACCTAATGGTGGAGTTTATTTTATTTGGTGGACGAATGACATGTTTTTGCGTAACTGTTAGTGTAAGAGTCAGCATATTTATATCTGAGTGTACGTGAATCTTGATCATGGGTGCATGAAAATGATCTCAACAAGGGTCACAACAATTTGACAAAGCTCAGCATATGACTAAGGTTTTTGCAGATGAAGAAATCATATGGCTTTGGTAGGATATATAATCATCGAGGAACTTTTGAATTTTAGCATTTTGAAAATAAAAACTTCGGATGTCAAGTCTTTCTTAGAACAAAGTCATAGCAAATTCTATTGTACCATATCCATAACTCGTAACAACTTAGACAAGGATTTTGCATTTGCAACCCATAAGTTTCAAGTTTTTAGGATGAGATATTTTTAGCCAACAAACTTAAATCTTAGAAAAAGCTAAGTTATAAACTAGGCACAGACGAAATATAAGACAGATCAACTATTCATCGTTTCAACAAGGAGAGACTAAAACATGCTCACACACATATGTGGAATGGAATGAATATTTTTGTTCTTTTTATCATATTTCATTTTTTGGGGTCTTTTATCATGTTCTGATTTTTTTTTAATTTTGATTGCAAGAAAAAAAATACTAAAGGAAAAACAAGATACAAGTTACCTCCGTGGTAGGGGGTCCTCCCCCAAGCTAGCTTGTGGCCTATGGTCCTTTAGCTGCTTTTATTATAACAAAGAGGCAAACTTGAGGACAGATATATAAATATCTCATTTTATTACTATTATTTATTTAATTGAGGTTCACCAAATATGTCTTTATTTTATCTCTGTTATCATCTTTAAGACTTAAACTCATGATATTGAAAATTTTCTGCTGGGGTTAGTCCATATAATCAATCAAAGTCTATACTTAGTAGTTTTGGTTCAATAATTAAACTAAACATCATGTTTAATTTGATTAAGGTAGGCTAAATAATCTAAGCACCATGCTTAAATTAATGAGCCTATAAAAGTATGATGACACAATCATCATATCCAAACCAAAACATACTTGCATAGAGAAAGGAAGCATGGAGGAATAACCAAGATTCATCCAGCGGAGATGAAGGAGTTTAACAGGTGAACTAGAGAACTACAGAAATTTATTATTATTATTATGTTTAGAAAGGATTTTTTTTTTAAACTCGGAAATAAATATTTTTAAAATTTTGAAAGTTTTGATGCATATGCAATAATTTAAACATGCAATGTGAAAATTTAAAATGCATTTGGAAATCAAACATGAGATAACTACCGATTTACCTTCGGCAAGGACTCACCATTTATAGTCCGATGAGCGGGACTCCTCTTCCTCTAGTTATCTGCAGATGCAAGGACATTTTCAAGGGAATTCTCGAGTTGCCCCGGGATTTTCCCCAAATGATTTATAGGAATGGCGGTAGCTATTTGAGCAATTTGAGTTTCTATTATTTTGTTAAAGCTCTGTTGATTTTTCACAGAGGAAGATAAAATTTCAATTTTTGTATTTATATTTTCAAAAAATTTATCATTACTGACAAGCTTTTTAGTAAGATTTTCGTTGATTTTAGCTTACCCTAATACTAGATCTTTTAAAGATGGTTGATTTGAATTGTAATTCGAATTGAAATTTGAATTGAAGTTTGAATTATTACCTTGGAATTGTGATTGATTATTACCTCCTTGTGGACAGAACCCGTTGTTGATGTAGGTAGCTTCTTCACGGGTCTCGGGGCAGTCGTTTTCCGAGTGTCCATACAGACCTCGCATGTCATATGCGAGTCCATGGTCTTGACGGTGCCGTACATTGCTTCTTTCTCATGGGCACGTTCGTCAAGTCTTTTCATCAAAAGGTCTAATTGTACAGCAAGCATATCCGTCTCCTTCACGGTATGCATGTCTTTTTTTTTTTGACCTCTCGTCGCTCCAGCCTTGATTTAACACCATTTTGTCGATGAGAGCCGTAGCTCCATCTATGGTGAGCGAGAGAAAAGCTCCTCCAGCAGCGGCATCTATGTATCCTCTTGACATGGGTGTTAACCCATTATTGAAATTTTGGAGGATTAGCCAATTCTCCACCATCCCGTGGTGCGGGCAGGCAAGGATGTACTCTTGCAGCCTCTCCCACGCCTCAGGATAGGTTGGAGATGCGCATTTGCCTCCTCGCTCGGCAAACCACATTCAAGTTGCTTGCTCCATATGTGCCGAACCTAACCTATCTTAGCCTTAACAGGGTTCGTAGTGCAAACACCCTAGTTCTTTATGAGGGGTGCTTCCCACATCTGAAAACGCTTGTCTTCAAGCGCATGCCTGATGTCAGCGAGCTGAACATCAGCGATCGTGCCCTTCCACAGATTGAAGGTATATATGCTGTGACACTTCCAAAACTTAACAAGGTCCCCCAAGGCATCGAATCCCTTCGCTCTCTGAAGAAGCTATGGCAGCTGCATCTGCACCAGGACTTCAAAGTTCAGTGGCATATGAACGGAATGCTGGAGAAAATGCAGTATGTTTCAGAGCTCCACATATAGCAGTGGCACTTAGGTTCCATATGCACTGGCATTAATCCATGGATATCTACTTGTAACTACTACGCAAATTGTTCAGTCCTCCTCAATAAGCCATCGGTCATTGGCATTGTCAGTAAACCTGCGTAGCATCTATAATATGTACTAGATTTGTAATGCTCCAATAAACCCTTAAATTTGTCATTGTTTTGACATCAGGTTGCACCTACTACAAGTTGTAGTGTGGTTTTGGTTTGTAGTTTGATCCCCATGCAAGAATCTGGACCTTGTGTACTGAATTGCATAATGTAATAAATTATTTATCTTGTGACTAGATTCAATCTCTTCCAGATCCAATAATTCAGAAACACTGCAACATTGTGCCATAAAAGTCCTTTGTACAAACAGTTTTCTGAAATACAGCACGAAGGGTGCCTTAAAATCAGCTTACGGTCGAGCCCAACTCCACATGAATCCAATGAGGAAAGGCAAAAAAGAAATGCTCGGTTGACGGGGTCAGGCGACGAAATGCACATTGATTTTTGGATAAATGTAGCAGGTTTAGGCATATGGTCCGAGTAATTTACTGATTGAGGCACACAGCGCTAGCACTTAGCATACAAATGGTTCTTGTGCCCTACACCTGATAAATCGATAATATGTACTATATTGAATGTTAAAAAGTTATCTACCAACAAGGGAAAAACTGATTGGATGCAACATGTGGAACAGCAGGCATTGAACCCCTATGATAAATCGATGTCAGCACACTGGCAAATACAATGGGAATTGCACTGAAAACAAATGGTCACATCGTACGAAGCTCGACGAAGTTATCAACCTGATTTTCGTAGTGGTGCAAGTCTTCGAAGTTTAGCCGCGCCGCTGAGGGGTAGAGGGGTACACGGGGCTCGCCACGGCCGGCGGCGGCGCTGCGCCGAATGCGCAGGAAACCATCCCAAACGGTTGGAGGGGAGGCTGCAGAGTGCAGACAGGTTCCACGGAGACGGGCCTTTGCTTGAGGCCCAGTTCAGCTCGGCGACAGGCGACAGCCCTGTGTTTCCCCTCTCGTGTCTTTCCTTTGCTTTACTGTCGGCCCAAGAAGGAGCAACTGCTAGGCCTTGGGTTCAGCGCAGTTGTGGGCTTGTGGCTGCAAGAGTTTGACTCAAAATAGTCTAATTTTTTTAACGCAAGCAGACATTTTATACCGAAAGCAAGGAGAATTATAACAATCCTGATTTGACATAAATAAATATTATAAAAATTATGACAAAGTTATAAAATCAAGGACGGAGTAACGGCGAGGAGGATTGGGAGCGAAAGCTTGAAAGGAAAGAAGCAAAAGAAAGAAGAGGAGTAACAAGGTATGGAACAAATACAAGCACCGGTTCCTTCACATTTGGCACGATGAATCATAGTCAGTTCGGTGACATCGCTGCAATTGTTCTATTAAATAGAAACACAATTCATTTCACTAAATGCATCCACGGGCCATTGAACTCTCTTATCAACTGGCACGTATCATAAAAAACAACCCATTGAATTCTACAATAAATCTAGGAAATATAAGCACCCACGTCATGCTGAGGTTGACAAGTTCTGCCACATGGAACCCAACTTTTTTTTTCGACGAATCTGGAGGGGCCGAGGCCCCTATAGCTTTATATTAAAGTAAGTAAATACCCGGAAGAGTTTACAACAAAGTTCGAGAGACAAAAAGGAAAGGAAAAAATGCTATCCTTTTTATGTATTATAACCAATTTTGGATCCATGAACAAGAACTCTCCGAGCAACTTTCCTTTACTCTGAGTGAAGTTAGGGCCATCTCTTTGTTGAAGGCTCTTTTGCAAGATTGCAGCTCAGGTCCTATCTCACTGAAAATTAAATCATTTCGGGCTGTCCAGATAGTCCAACACATAACTATTACTGCATTCAGGAAGAATTCAGAGTTACATAACCAACACATGGAACCCAACTAAGTGAGCTAGTCTAGTTCATAGCATAATACAATTGTTACTTGAGTTCTATTTTTTTCTCAAACAACATAGGAGAGTTGCATTTTATTTTATTAAGAAGAAAAGAAATATGGAGAGGCAAGAGTCTACTCCAAGTACAAGGGAGAAAAAAACTAAATCCCACACCCATCACCTAAAACCAAAAAAACTAAAAGGAAAAAACACCCCAAGCACAATTAAACAGTACATACATCAAGTCATGTATGCTTAGCAGTCGAAGAAACGCTCATTAAGACCAAAGGCTCCAGCTATGCACCACAAAGCACTTTCATTAGCCACACATCTTGTAGAACCAATTGGACATTTGGAGGAGCTTCTTCAAGTACAAGCATTATGATGCTTCTATATTTCCCAAGCGACCAAAATGAGTTCTTCCAAAGTAATGTTACTCACCTGTCTCTTTTAGGTTAATTTATATAGGTTTTTTCCTAACATGTCGGACAGGCACTATGCCATCTTCCTATTTAGCAGAGGTTGCATCTTTAAGATTGCATCCATCTTCTCGGGGTTCGCTTTTATATTCTTCTCGTGGACATAAGACATCCTAGCAGCTTACCTTGTCTGACACCAAAGCCATTTCTCTGGGTTCAACATCAATTGTCTGGCTAGTTTACTCTCCTGGTGAATTAGCATAGCTGTTTTTGTTCACTAGGGTGAGTAGTTCTTGTTCACCCTAGGCTTCCTAGACAAAGTTAATTGTAGTCCTTATTAGGGCCATCTTGTTATCTATCTAACTTATGTTGCCTACTATTTTATTACTGTAGATATTCTTCCCTCTAACCATCTAGAGATCCTTTCTTTTGGTCCTTGATATCCGAGTAAAATGCACCAGTGGCCTCTAAACTTGGCAGCGGGTGTCATCTAGGTCCTCATCGGCAAGCAGGTCTGGCAAAGTCTCCGCCAGCAACATGAGCTCGCCGCTAGCATGGTTTCCGGCGTTGGTGCGTGCGGCTAGGCTCATGCGCGTGGTCACGGAGCGGGCGCGACCGTGCGTGACCGGACCGACAGAAATCAAGGGCATGGCCAGCTCCGATGGGTGCACGAGAGGTGCACGGACGAGGCGTGGCAGTTGCGCTATCTGGCTTTGTCAGTGCTAGCGTGGACCACCATGTTAGTAAATAGGTGTAGCCAAGACCCGTTTTGGATCGGTGACGTAGCATGGGCCTAGTTCATATATGTGGATGTGTATTTTAGGAGTTTAGTGACCTAGATGACACATTGTACCAAGTTTAGGGGCCAGTTTGGTATTGTTGGTGCCATCATAGACCACATGTCACGTTTGGACCTGTGACGTACTATGTGCCTAGTTTAGCATGTGTTTGGTTGAAGGGTTGAAGTGGGTTTGGGATGGGTTGGACCTAATTTTGGGAGTGTTTGGTTGGGGGAGTAGGGGGTTGGGTTCATCCCAAAAGGGAATATTCTCGTTAGATGCGGGTCGACCCGGTTCCTCAAAATCGAGCGGACGGGGTCGACACACTTCGCACGAGCGAGCAGAGAGGAGCGAGCGCTGCGGCGGGTAGGGCGAGCGCAGGCCGCGTGTGGACGGCGGCGCGGGCGAGCGAGCGATCTATAGCGGTCTGAACTATATGTCTATTTAATGGCTCACCATTATTTGATGCTGAAGTGAGCAATTTAGCCACTCTTGGTCACTGCACCCAGCGGAGCACCTTCGAGCGTCTTTCCGTGCACGGGTACCGTTGCACATGGAGCGTCCAACTTTCATAGTTCGCTTCCTTCGGTGACTTACCAAGGACTTAAAAAAAGAGTTACGTACAAACGATCAGGCCGACTACATGAATGTATGATCATGATCATGCTGGGAGGTGGCTCTTGGAAGGTACGGGTCCCTACAATAACCAGGATATGAATTTTTTTGTTGAAAAATACTAGATGTCATGGGCTACATAGAACTGCATGTAAATGACTATATCAATCATATCAATTTGGGACAGCCTGTCGTATATGGTTGAATGATTTCTTGATGTTAGATTTGCTTTCTAAAGAACATATAAGGGATAAGACATACTAGTAGCATAATATGGGTAGGAATACATTAGGTGAGAGGTATTTTCGAATTATTTGGCTCTTTCATAATATAGATAGATATAGACCAAGAAACTGTTGTTTAAGTTGCATCTGCCGGAGGGCCACTCATTGATGATGTATGTCAACCGTCACTACAGGGCCACGTTCACCTAACCATGCCGGCCATTTCCATCTATTTAACCCCGTCAAGTTGTTGTCTGTTTCAATCAATCCTAATAACCATCAGAGTAGTGTACATCGAGGTCGCAGCAATGTCGTCGTCATGCAGCGGAGCCATTCGCCGCGTGGTACTATTCCCTTTCCCATACCAGGGCCACTTCAATCCTGTGCTCCGCGTCGCCGGAGCTCTGCACGCCCGCGGTCTCGCGGTCACCGTGTTGCACACGGATCTCCGCGCGCCGGACCCGGCCGAGGACTACCCCACGGACTACAGCTTCGTGGCTGTGCCCGTCAAGGTGCCTGCGGAGGTCGTCGCGTCCGAAGACATCGCCAGGCTCGTGATGGAGCTGAACGCCTGCTGCGCGGCGCCGTTCAAAGAGCGGCTGGCGGAGCTGATTTCTGACGGCAGCAAGGACGACGGAGGCGTCTGCTGCGTGATCATGGACGTCATATGGTACTCGGCGCAGGCTGCGGCGAGGGAGCTCAACGTGCCGGCGCTGGGGTTCATGACCAGCAGCGCGGCCAGCTTCGGGAACTTCATCGCCTACCCGAAACTGATTGAGAAGGGCTACTTGCCCGTCCAAGGTACGTAATAAGAACTAAGCAAAATCAAATTTTTGTAGCAACAAGTTTGTGTAACAACCAATGCAAATATCAAAATTTTCCTCAATCAATGCACTGCAGAGAAGCGCCGGGATGATCCTGTTGATTTGCTGCCGCCGTTCCGCATGAGAGACCTGCAACGCATAGAAACGAGTAGCCTCATCGACGGAGCCAGTCTGTCCTCCGGTCTCATAATCAACACGTTTGACGCCATCGAGGCTACCGACCTCACCAAGATCCGCGAGGACCTATCCATCCCTCTGTTCGCCGTCGGGCCTCTCAACAAGTTCACGCCGCCGGTGAAAGGCAGCTTGTACCAGTGGCAGCAGGACCGCCGGTGCCTGGACTGGCTGGACACGCGGGCGCCAGGCACGGTGATCTACGTGAGCTTCGGCAGCCTCACCGCCATGGACCGGCACGAGTTCGTGGAGCTGGCCTGGGGCCTGGCTGACAGCAAGCGCCCCTTCGTTTGGGTGGTCAGGCCGAGCCTCATCCGCGGCTTCGAGTCCGGTGACCTGCCGGATGGGTTTCAGGAGGAGGTCCGTGACCGAGGTTGGATCGTCGATTGGCCGCCACAGGATGAGGTGGTTGCTCATCCTGCTGTTGGGGCTTTCTTGACGCACAACGGTTGGAACTCGATGATGGAGGCTATATCAGAAGGCGTGCCCATGGTATCACGCCCGTTCTTGGGAGACCAATATGGAAATGCTAGGTTTGTGTCACTACCTAAAAAACAATTTTTAGCAACGGTTTGAAATTTTTTTTTTAGGGGCGGCTGGTGATGGAGCCACCCTACAGTGGCGTGCTCGGGTGGCCAGACACCAGCTGCCCCTACAAATAGAACAGCAGGGGCGGCTGGTGATACGAGCCGCCCTTACAAATGGGGTCTGATTTGTAGGGGCGGCTCAATCACCGGCCGCCCCTACAAATGACCCCATATAAAATAGCTGCAGCACCTTCTTCATCCTCGGGTCACTCACTCTAACCTATGAAAGAAAGGTGGGCAGCACCTACTAAGGGGGGAAGGTTTTGGTCTCAAATTCTTTGGTGGAGAGGTTGTAGAAGGTAAGAAAAAGCTATTTCATACTTTTTTTTAAGTTTTAATGGTTGGTGAGTGAGTAATTAAAGTTTTGTTTTTCTCTCTCTTCTATGGTGTTTGAGCTACTTATGAAGCAAATTAGATCCAAGTTTTGAATGTATTAGGTAAATAAGGTAGGGGAACAAGATCTTATCCTTATTTGGTCCATATTTCTTGATTTTAGTGAATAATTAGTTAGTTTTATGGATGCTTCATGTGCATGTAGATCTAGATCTAGGGTTTGGTTTTTTTATTAATTTCGTTTTTGTAAATTTATATTTGATGAAATTGGACTAGGTTTTGCACGAAAGATATTGGGTAAAATATAACTGTTGCTAATTGTTGTCTTTAAAATTGTTTATTGTAATCAACAAATTTTTCTCTACCATGGTGTGTTTGTATGCTTTATGTAATTATATTAGATTTATATTCATATATATCTGAAGTATATACAATTATTCTCAAGTAATTATTAATTTGATTCATTTTTATATATATGTGAATAAGTAGTCCTTTAATGTTTGTTTTGTTATTGTTGTAAAAGATGGAGTACATGAACTCTTGGATGTATGGTTCGTTAAGATTCAAGGTAGGTTTCCATGAAGAGGTGGATAAATTTATTGAAGCCGCACAGAAGCATGCAACGACATTGAAAGAGAATAAGGATACAATTATTTGTCTCTGTAAAGATTGCAAGAACCGTGTAGAATGGACAGATGTGACTATCATCAGATCACATTTGATTATGCGATGATTTGTTGAGGACTACACAGTGTGGATTCATCATGGTGAAACGGTTACTGTTAACGACGAGGATGAGGAGGAATACGACGATGAAACCATATAATCTCTGTCCCAATATTTAGCAGAGCTTGATGCACGAATGGATTTCGAGTTTGGCAATGAACAAGGTGGTGATGCTGGTGGTTGGGATGGTAACGACGAAGGTGGTGCTAATAATGATGGTGGAGCACGTGTCGGGGATGAAGATGATTTGGAGGACATGATTCGAGCCCTTAGACCAGAGATTTTACTAAATAGCTCGAAAGGTCTAGAAAATTTAGAAAGGGTGACAAAAGTATTGAAGGAGACTGTGTATGGTGTTGAAAAGGGCTGTCCGACACATTGGACATTGCTACGTTTTGTGCTTGAGCTGCTCATCCTGAAGGCTAAGTACGGCTGGTCAGACTGTAGTTTCAATGATCTATTGCATCTCCTGTCATGGATGCTGCCACAACCAAACTCAGTTCCCGCCAACACATACCAAGCGAAGAAGGTCATAAGTCTATTGACAATGGAGGTTGAAAAAATCCATGCATGCCCCAACCACTGTATACTTTTTCGTGGCGAAACGTTCAAGTCCCCGGTGTGGGGCCAGTCGGTACAAGAACAATGACCTTTACGGTGGGGACGAACCCGCCACGGGGAAAAAGAGGAATAAGATGGGTACAAAAAAGGTGGTACAAGAATCTTAGCCCCTAGAGGACACTCCATTAGGCAACGATGCAAAGTAGAGAAGAATTCCTGCCTTGGTAATGTGGTACCTACCAGTGACCGATCGCTTGAGACGTATCTTCCTAAACCCTAAAGAAGCTGCACTCATGACATGGTGGGATGATAAGCGCAAGGTGGATGATGATAAGATTGCACACCTGGCTGATTGTAGTCAGTGGCAAATGTTTGATGAGAAGCACAAAGAATTCAGCGATGACCCAAGGAATGTATGGTTTGGCTTGAGCACTGATGGAATGAATCCCTTCAATGAGAGGATGAGCGACCATAGCACATGGCCATTGATCTTGACCATGTACAACATCCCAACATGGTTGTGTCAGAAGAGAAAGTACCTTCTCCTCACTATTCTTATTTCTGGCCCTAAACAACCAGGCATTGATATAGACGTGTTCCTCGAGCCTTTAATGCAAGAAATAGAGAGGCTATGGAGGCATGGGGAGCAGATGTACGATGCGTTCTGAAAGGAGGACTTCATATGTAGAGCAATAATATTTGTTACTACCAATGATTACCCCACGCTGTTTGCTTTGTCTGGACAGATCAAAGGAAAGACGGGATGCTTGGTTTGCTTGGATGGTACTACATGGGTGTACCTAGATGCATCAAGAAGATAGTTTACCTAAGGAACCGATGCTTCTTAAAGACAAGTCATAAGTACCACAGCAAATTGTTCTTTAGATTTTATGACAACGCCCCAGAGATTGAACCCCCTCTAGAGAGATGTCATAACTGAGAACATGTGTATAGAATGGTGAAAAACATACGTGTCGTCTATGGAAAGAAGAATTCGGATGAGACGAACAGAGATAGAAGCACACCTCCTGTCGAAGGCGTACCTTTCAAGAAACAATCGATCTTCTTTCAGTATCTGCCTTATTGGCCAGACTTGGAGGTCCCCCATGCCATTGATGCTATGCACGTGCAGAAGAATGTCTTTGGGAGTCTCATTGCTACCTTGATGGATACAGGCAAGTCAAAGGATGGTCTGAAAGCATGGAAAGACATGGTGCAGCTAAACGTGATGCCACAGCTTCAACCGGTACCTGAGGCTAATGGAAAATACACTCTATCCGCGGTGTGCTTCAACCTAACACCAGACGAGAAGAGAGCTATATGCACTTTCCTGAGGGGGATCAAAGTCCCGACTGGGTTTTCAGCAAATATGAAGAAGCTAGTGTCGATGAAGGACTTGTCAATAACACACTACAAGGCTCACGATTGCCATGTGATGCTGACAGTGTTTCTACCTATTGCAATTAGGGCTATAAAGCCAGAGTTCTTGAAAATGGCCATCACCCACATGTGCTACTTCTTTTCGAAGATCTCACAGAAGACGATTGGCAAGCAAGAGCTAAGTGACCTACATGAATTTGTGGTGGAGACACAAAACCGACTAGAGATGTGTTTACCTCCTGCTTTTTTTGATATAATGCCACATCTCATGATTCACATGGTTCATCAGATACAGACGCTGGGCCCTTGCTACTTGCATGAAATGTGGTCCTACGAGCGGTTCATGTCGGTTCTAAGTCGATATGTGCATAATCGAGCATACCCAGAGGGCTCCATGATAGAGGGTTAGAGTACTGAAGAAGTCGTTGAGTGTTGTCAAGAGTACCTAAAAGTACAGAAAGGGATTGGTAAACCCGATTCTCGTCACAAGGGTAGGCTGGGTGGGAAGGGCACCAGTGGTAGAAAAGTGTTCATCGACCATGATTACAAAGAGGTGAGTCGGGCGCATTACAGTGTCTTGCAGAGTACACAACTGATGCAACCATACATTGATAAACACTTGGCTATCATTATGGCGGAGAGAAATGGACGTTCGGATGATTGGATCATGAAACAACACAAGCAACGGCTAACTATATGGTTGAAGGACCAAAACATATCGCTTGGAGAAACCATAGACTCTATTACCATCAGTAGGTTGGCGGAGGGGCCATCGAGACAAGTGACATCTTGGAATGCTTATGACATCAATGGGTATACGTACTATACCCACGCAAAGGATAGTAAATATGTAAACCAAAACAGCGGCGTTTGAATAGAGGCTCTTGATGGATTAGGGTGAAAGATCCAATACTTTGGCATCATTGAAGAGATATGGGAACTTGACTATGGAAGGGATATAACGGTGGCCCTGTTTCGATGTCGCTGAATCAAACAACACCAACTAAACGAGATCGGATTGAGAGTCCTGGACCTCAAGAATCTAGGCTACCAAGATGACCCTTGGGTGCTCACTTCACGTGTCGCACAAGTTTTCTATATGTCTGACCCACAAAGTAACCTCCCCCCGAAGAAGAAGACAAAGCACATGGTTGCCTCCGGGAAACAGCACATTATTAGAGTTGATGGCGTGGACGATGTTGAAGCTTACAATAACTACGATGAAGCTTACAATAACCCCCGAAGTGAAGATGAAGATGAAGATGAGGATGATGATGATGAAGAAAGTGATGATCAAGCCTCCACCTCCTCCTCGGATATTGATGAAGACATAAACAAGCTAATTGAGAAGGTGGTGAAAAATATTCACAAGTTGAATGTCAAGGGTGTGCCCATTCAAATTGAAGATTTCCTATTTACCAACCCAAGAAGAGAGCAAAGAAAGAAAGGATGCTATGGTTGCGGCAAGAAGGGGCACTTTGTGGAAGAATGTCCAAACAAGTCCACACCCAAGGCAAAGAAGAAGGCAAGAAAAGCTAAAGGCCAAGCCCTCACCACAATCAAGACATGGGATGGTTTATCAAGTGAAGATGAAGCCCAACACAAGAGGTGTGGCCGCAAGTACTCATCATCAAGCTCTTTACATGTGTGGCTTGTGGCACGAGGTAACGAAAGCTAATCCTCTAGTGAGAGTGATAGTGATAATGAGATGCCTTCTTATGATAAAATTGTACAAGATAATGAAGATAGCTCACAACAAGCTTATAATGTGTTGCTTGAACAATATGAAACTTATGCCAATCTAAACGTGGAGCTATCTACTAAAATTGAGCAACTTGAAGCTAGTGCAAACACAAATGAAAGCACAATAACCGATGAGCAACTAATGAAGAAAAATGATAAATTAAAAGCTAAGTTAGCTAGTTCACAAGAAGCTTATAAAAGTT